TCTATTGCCGACAAATGTCCAGTTTGTGACTATTTCTTCTGTTGCCATGGTGGATTTTGAAGGCGAAATCCTAAATATCAAAAAATCAATTGCTTTCTGCTCAGAATAGGGTAATCCGACGTCCTAAAACAGGGCCCCGATGGAGTGGGATATTTTATAGATCGGTCAATGTCAATAAAGAGTACTTCAAATCTATCTCAGTAGAACTACGTTGCCTCTGTTATTATTTGATGTTGTAATAATGTAGTGTTTCACTCCACATGCGCCATGTTGCGCCTCTGTGGTGTTAAATGGTCTGAGTAGCCCTTGTGTTAAAGCACCTCATCCGACACCCTGCTGGGAATTTATCGTTCTTGTTTGATCTCAAACATCTTAATGCAAAATAAAGTCAACATTTTCTTTCTGCTATACTTCTGGACCAGTCTTAATACTTCACCAGTCTACTTCTGGTGTGTACTACTCCCTTCAGAGGAAAGCACAAACAGGCTCTAACCAGAGTAGAAAAAGAGGTTGGGAGGCCGCGTTGCACAACTGAGCAAGAAGATAAGTACATTAGAGTCTCTACTTTGAGAAACAGATGCCTCGCAGGTCCCTAACTGACATCTTCATTAAATAGTACCCGCAGTAGCCTGTTTGTGCTGTCCTCTGAAGGGAGTAGTACACACCGTTGTAGGATATTTTCAATTTCTTAGCAATTTCTCGCATGGAATAGCCTTCATTTCTAAGAACAAGAATAAACTGTCGAGTTTCAGATCAAAGTTCTCTTCTTCTGCTCATTTTGAGTGTTTAATTAACCCCACAAATGTGATCCTCCAGAAACTCATTCTACTCAAAGGAAGGTCAGTTTTGTAGCTTCTGTAACAAGCTAAACTGTTTTTAGATGTGTAAACATGATTGCACAAGGGTTTTCTAATCATCAATTAGCCTTCTGAGCCAATGAGCAAACACATTGTACCATTAGAACACTGGAGTGATAGTTGCTGGAAATAGGCCTCTATACACCTATGTAGATATTGCACCAAAAACCAGACATTTGAAGCTAGAATAGTCATTTACCACATTAGCAATGTATAGAGTGCATTTCTTTAAAGTTAAGACTAGTTTAAAGTTATCTTCACTGAAAAGTACAATGCTTTTCCTTCAAAAATAAGGACATTTCAATGTAACCCCAAACTTTTGAACAGTAGTGTATGTTATCACATTTATTCACAAGTGAGGATAAACCAAAACAGAAAAAAATAAATAAACTAATCTCTAAAGTTTGATGTAACCCAGGCGGAAGAGTCTGGGCTGAAATGTTAGAAGAGGAGCCACTGGTTATCGAAGAACTGGAGAGTTTCTCTCTCTGGAGTCTGGCTCTTTATTCTCCAGACTCCTCCTCTATCATTAGTCAGGTGTTCTGAGTCAGAACGTCTCAGGTGAACCATCGTACACACCGCTACCATAACAACCACTGCTAATGTCACCTGTTGAATGTCTCATTATCCCAGCGGGTCTTCACAGGAGATCTGCTTAGACCATTTCTGAACTTATCTGCACAGTTTGCTTGTTTTTTGTTTATATTTGGCTGAAAACAGAAAAATAAGGGTTTTACTTATTGGCAGAGTTTATCTAAATGTGTTCTAGCGCAGACATGATGTCCTAACATTATCTTGAAAGTATCAACAGGGTTGAATTCTACACCTTTCTAAAGATGTTTCTGGTCGATTGATTTATCCACAAACAAACCCAGCTTCTTTTATTGTTGAAGATCCTGCTATGCTGAGAGATGCCAGGGACGGGTCAGACTAGTCCCTGTTTGTGGACGCCGCTCCCTCAGAGCCGCCTGTGTCCGGGTGACCGCTGCAAACACGCCTGCTGCAGCTATAACGGGGACGTCTACGTCCTGGGAGGAAGGGACAGCAGCTGCCTGGGAGACTTCTGGAAGTACAGTGTTGGTAAAGGCCCTCAATGAACACATGATTCCCATTTATAATATGGCTTTTTAAAGGAAAAGTCTGGGCATATTCAGAATACAAACTTCTGAAAGTACTTAAAATATGAAATTATCACATACTGTTCAATAAATGTTAAGTGTTTTAATTCAGAGTAGATTTCATTTGAATGTGCTTTACTGGAGGCATCCATGTTTGTCAAAGAACACTACTGCCACCTAAAGGTTTGTGACGTCACGGTGGGTATCAGCTGTTGATCAAGTCCCAGTGCTGTATCTGGTGTTTGTCACAACAAGTCATCTTGAAAACATTCTTCTTCCAAATGTTGGCTACATATTACGGGTTTTTTCTCTGGCCAGAAGTTTGATGGTAAATCCTCCCTCTTCAAGTTGGCGATCCAACGACCAACCCGTCCGTGGAGGATCAGGTATCAGAAAGGTGGAATAACTCTCTTTTTTTACTTTTACCCGATGTATTCCAACATCCGACTGCCATGCACGAGGGCATTGTCAGTTTCACTATAGCTCTGGTGAATTGAGGTAGTTCCCATTGATTTTGCTTATAAAGCAGTGAGAATGGCGCTAGGCTTACCGCACAGTGACGTCACTGCTGGAAGATGTCAAGATTGCCGCTCCCAGACAAGGACTTCTGACTGCGAAAAATATTGTTTTTATTTTTTTACTGATTAATCCTAAATTCATTAAATCACCGCGAACATATTAGTTTCAGGTATAAATAATGAACCATTAATTATTTCTTTCTGACCAGACTTTTCCTTTAAAGTTGTGCTTGTTTATTAAAAAAAATAATAATAATCTCACACCTTTTGAGCTGCTTTATGTTTCATTTTTTAAAATTAAGTGAAAGTAAAATTCTATATAGATTCTCTCCTCTGGATGAAAATAGTTTCACAAACACTGACCTGTAGGCTTTTTTTTTAAATCCTTTATATTTTTATCTGAAGCGAATTCTTCCTGGTTTGGTTGTTGTTCTTGATGACTTGTGTGTTTGTTCCTGATGTGGTGGATATTAGCTTCTGGACTGGGATCTTATCAAATAATCAACTCTGTGATATAAACAATTTGATGCAATTACACAAACATGCTAGAAAAAGACATGCTAGCAATTTGCTAGCCTTTTTTCAAGCTAATGCTCTACATAGAGCCAAGCTTTTATTTCCTATTAGATCAGCCAGAATCAGCCATTTAAAAGCCGCCAGCATCACAAGTCTATCTGAGAAATAAAGTCTGGATTACACAAAAACAGGACGCTACATCACAGTTTGCATCCACTCCACTAAAACGAAGAAATAAACAGTCTGACAGTATGTTGGAGCGACCTCCCCTGTATCTTAGGCTATGTTCACACTGCAGGCCTTGATGCTCACTTCAGTTTTTTTTGTGAAATCCGATTATTTTCGCATTGCTTTTCACATTTCTAAATGTATGCGACTTGTATGTGATCTACTGTGTGAACTGCATTCATACAACGCAAGTGTCCCGCATGCGCAGTAGAGGACGCAATGATGTCACAAGCAGCGTGCTCTGTGTTGACGGAAGTAAACATAAATGGTAGTGCTGGAGCGCATTTAGCGATCTTTTCCACCCATAAAAATGCAATCTTTTCAAGATATTTAAACTAGTGCTGTCAAAATTATCGCGTTATTAACGTGTTAACGCAAGGCCATTTTAACGGCGATAATTTTTTTAACGTGAGATTTTTGTTAAGAGGCTGAAAAGTAACTTTCTAGAGCATAGACTACCTCCATCTAGTGATGTCGGCCTATTGATTTTGATGTATTGATTGAAAATTGTTCATTATTACCTTGGTTAATTAACATCTAATGTTAACTCTACTACATTTTATAGCAGTAGGGTAAAACGCTTGTCTTTGTTCAAAAGACTGTATTGACTGTAAAGACTGTCTTTTACATCAGCCTGTTTTCAGGGCCTTTTTTTTGGCTACATATTTGTTATTTTTTGCTACATGCCTCCCCATCTTCTTGCCATATGTTTCTATGGCATAAATCAGTATCTGTGACCTGTTTTCATTTTAAAAAAAGAACATTGGCACAAACCTAGCCTGTATGTATTTTTTTGTATGTCATCGAGAGTATTTAAATGATTTTCAATCAGGAAAAAAATGTGCTATTAAAATGCGATTAATCGCGAGTTAACTCAGGCATTGATGCGATTAATCGCGATTAAAAAAATTTAATCGATTGACAGCACTAATTTAAACATGAATACTGCTTTCTGCATCATCGTCCGCCATGGTTGTTGTTTTTCTTGCTACTTCTTCATAGCAAGACCTAGAATACAGACCTTTGTCGGGTATTAATGGCATTCAGGTTGGATAAATGCGACCTGGCCGTTCAGACGCAGGTCGCATTTGAAAAGATGAGATTCGTATCGGACCACATAGCCAAGCGGCCTGAGTCGCATTGGAAAAAATCGGATCTGAGTTGTTCAGACTGCAATAAAAAGATCAGATCCAGGTCGCATATGGGCCAAAAAACAGATTTGGGTCACTTCAGGCTGCAGTGTGAACGTAGCCTTATAGGTTTACTGTCAGGGTTCCTGTGTGTGAGTGAGTCTTCATACAGTGCTGGTTTGTTGTGATGAAGAGGTAGTTTCATTCCTTTTAGTCTCTTGCTTCCCTCGAGTATTTTCCCTAACGTTTACTGGCTTTTGTTTGGTTTTCAGTATTTATTTTTTTTGCCTCTGTTCCCCTTGTACCTTCATTAAATCATCCAAACTCATCTGTACCTTCTCCTCTCTGCATTTGGGTCCTCAAAGCCACCACCCAACCTGACATTTACGTCTCTTTTCATTAGAAATAATACATTTCCAACATATTTTATTCTTATGCAACGGATAAGCGTGACATAAAATGGATGAATGGATATTTTGTTCAGGAACCTAATTGGTTCCTGTTTTTGCCATACAGTTTAACAATGTATAAGGATAATATTTTTCTTTTTTTTAAGTCATCGTATTAGCCCTACTTTTATGGAAAGATCTTCCTATTGCAAGATAAAACTCAGTCTTATAAGAAAATAGACGCTTATAAATTCATCTTAAATTGATCACGGATCAATTTTAAGATTAATTGATTGGCAATTATTTTGGATAATAAGTTAATCTTTGATCAACATCAATCAACTTTAGATAAATCCATTCATCAATACCTTGAATCTCTAGTTCTGGATACATTCTTGTCTTCTGAGTGCGTTGCGACGAACCGTTTTTCAGCTTCTGTTTCCCACCTGCTTTGTGAGAACCTGACCACAGTGGATTTAGATCCAGGGAGTTTCCTGACCACAGGTCCAAAGTGTCATCGCTCTGAATCACGTATTATTTTCATCTTGTGACACAGGGCTAGACCACGCGTGATAGTCCACAGACCATTATCAGAGCGTCTGCATTGTTGTTATAAGTTCTCCCAGAGGACTTTTTGCTTCTATTCTTTATGGACTGCAGTGTTCAGGATTGAGAGGAAGCTGATAGATGTGGGTGAGCAGTAAATCCACTTATAGATTGTATCAGGAAGCATCACCATTGGCCCCCTACAGGGCTAGGGGGAGCCCACTTCAGTAACTCGCATTGTTTTCTTTCCAACCGTCCCAAACAATCAGAACAGAGAAGCTAAGTTTAAACCCCTCTTCTGATGTTCTTTCCTAACGTCCTGCAGATCTTAAGTCTGTCCTTCACGTATTCACAGGTGTGTCCTCATCCA